GGGCTAGTGGTTAGAGCTGAGGCACTGGGAGAGAGGCCTTGTGGGTTAGTGATTAGGGCTGAGGCACTGGGAGAGAGGGAGTGAGGCAGTGTGGACCACTGGGAAAGAAATGATTGTTCTCAGAACATTGGCTACGCAGTCTACATTGGTCAAGTTGATCAATTTAAGCAAAGACAGGGAAAGAAGACCACCAGCACCCACAGCAAATCTGTACTGAGTATGAAAATACATACTGATGCAGGTGATGTAGAACAGAGTTTAAAAATCCAGCAAGCGGTAGGGTGTGTCTGCGAGACACAATGGAGCCGTCAGGGACTGTCAGCTCAGTGGGCTGGCAGGCATGGGACAGGCCTGACCTCACCCCGCCCTCGCTGACAGCAGAGCAGAGCCACGCCCCTGTGCCCCTGTGCCCCTGTGCCCCGCCGCGCTCCCACAGCTCCCAGACCTCAGCCAGCTCGCCTCCCCAGGGCAGCACGTGTGGGCCGGGGCCAATCAGTGCGCCCACAGAGCTCGGTTCTCACCATAGTTCGCCCTTCTAGCCGTTCGGAAAATTCTGACTCTATTTTTGCCGTTTTCCCTGAGGTTTTGCCTCGCTTAGACAACATCCTGACGGTGCTGCGCTGTGGGTTCCCATGGTGTGCATCATGTTTTCCTATAGCCCTTGTGCTTCACCTTGCACTGCTGTTACTACAGTAACATCTGCTAAGGGTGACTTTGCCTCTACTGATTGTATGTCTGGGACATGTGTGACTAAACCTCACAGCAGATCTGGTCAGATTTCAGACGTCAGGGTGGGTCCAGTCAGTACTGGAATGGAAGTCCTTTTTCCTTGGTGGACTAATCGGGAAAGCTCATCGCTCTAGACACGAATTTCCAAACCAGCGCTGCATTATGGTGACCAGGAGCCCTGTGCTAGAGGAAGTTCTGTCTTTCAGATGATAGGGGTCCCAGGGTTCTGTTCACAGAGGAGGGGTTCTGACCCCAGTGGCCTGCCTAGAGTCCACTCTGGGCCTCTAAAGTCTGGCCTCTATAAAGATCTTAATTCAATTGGTGAATCCAGACTGGACTGCAGATGAAGTTGGTCCCTACCTATAGATAAGGTGCTTTGGGATGAAAAGCACTGTGTAAGTGGAAGCCATTGATATTAATAATATAACTAAATCAACTATAGAAAGTAAAGAAAGGAACTCGGACCCAGGCCACCTGGGCATGCTGCCTGCTCGGGCTCGGTGTATGAATAGGACATTGTTTATGTTACTGCTTTTCTCTTTCTGTTTGGCCAGTTCTGTCTCTGCCAGAGCGTGGCCAGAATTGCAGAACACAAGACAAGCAGGAAACGCAATTAGAAAGGTAATTTAGACGGCTGAGATAGGAAAATGGCCAGGCTACAGGAGTTCACTCGCTCGGAACAGCAGAGCGACCCGTA